TTTACTATCTATCATCAGTTCAAATTTATAAAATATTACCACTATAAAAAAAAAAATCCTGATAATGTTAATGTGGCTGCAAACATTTTTTATTACCCTGTCTACAAAAATCAAGATAAAATGTGACAGCAGTTTATAAAATATTTACATTTGCTCTGAATGTATAATAGAATATAAAGGCTTGACGTCTTCTCGATATATTTTGTAGACGTACAAGCAATATGAATTCATTGTAGTTTGCAGCTCTGGAGTTGTTTATCATTATTCCAATGTTGTTGTAAAAGTAATATTCTACATGTCGTAATTTCGACTGCAGGAATGAATCATATTTCTGGATTAAGAAATGTGCTGCTGAAGCATTCTGGAAGTTAATGATTCCTTTTGCTGGTGGCGGGATATAAAGTGGTGCTCTGGGATTCCATAACTTTATTGTGGATTCAAACAATTAAGTCATGTCAGTGATAAAATAAGTAACTGTTTGTGATGTGTCAAGGGGATCATTAAATAATGCAATGGTCACAGACATTTTTACATTTATGTCACGTTCACTCCCTGAACAACAATTTAGGATAAAGCTACTAAACCAAGATATTTTGCCATGCATCAAACAGTAGAATCTGATCTGTTGTTTAAATAGATGTCCTTTTTTTTTTAGGAAAAAGAAAGGTTTTATCAACTAAGTTATTGATGTTTGCATAGCTACCTAGTGGGCATGTAGTCTCATAACCCTTATTGACTAACCCAACTGCTCACAAGCTAGTGCTAATCCCATACATTTGAAATGGAAGGCAAAAATAGCTAGTCACATCCTGAAGATTGAGGACAGGTTTTGGACTTTGAGCATTGCAACACGATGCAGAGGAATAATGCCCATGGAACTTTTCAGATGCATCATTCATGTTTCACTGTACAAAAACACTGCCACATTATCATTATAACACTAGTCAATAAGACTTTGTATTGCCTATTGAATCCTTTAACGCAAACTTATCATTACACTGTTGCGGTTTTTGTGTTTATATTTGAGAGTGAGCTATCTATTTATTGATCTGTTGGTATTTGACCCAACTATACCTCGATTATTCCATTCTCCATTTTTTTTTAACTTGGCTTGTTATCTCATTTTCTTGCTGCCCTATATTCCATTCACCTTGACTTGTTGCTGTCTAGTCTCTGCCTGATCCAATGTTGTTTTCCCCTTGTAGGCACTACACACTTGTCTTTATTTAGTAAGATTGACCTACCTTCTGTGTGTTCAGGTCATGCATTGTCTTGGTTGTACTCTGTTGATGTAAGACAATATAGGACTGTTTAACTGTTGTTCATTATGCTGTGTCATGGAATACATGACTGGTATAAAAATATTAACATGCAATTCTTCCTGGTCAGAGTCACTGGTAATTAATGGGAATAACTATAAACCCTTTTCACGATAAGTGGGCTGCTTGAGTTGGTCAGTTGAGCCAAAAATAGCACTGTTAAATAATACATCTCAAATAAACTGGTTGTGAGAACGCAAACATTTTAGTTCAAATTTAACAAATTGGCTACAAACTGACCACAGCTGTCTGTTAATAGACTGCTGAATGATTTTGTTTCATATACGTTGGTGCCTTCCTGTGAATTTGTTGACACTGATTTGCAAATAATGCAAGTATATCTATTTTGTTTATATGGAATTAAAGAGATTTTATTATTTCATTATAAGTGATAGAATTGAATAAACTATTTTCTTTTTGTAAAATCTAGTTGGAATTGACAATGTTAAATCTTCTTAATTTCTTCTTGTCTTCAGTTGATTGATATATATACGTCTTTTGTATATATAGTCTTGGGCCAAATGCTCGCAACATTAATATATGTCTATATTAATGAAAAGTACTAATACGCAATCTGACTTACGGTTTCTTCAGGTTTATTCTTAATTACTGATACATAATAAAACAACAAAGTATATTACAGGATAATGTACATTCAACAGCAGATGGTAATTGCTGGACTTCTGATGGGAGAGCTACATCTTGTACAGGAAAGAGAGCCAAGAGAGCGAGAGACCTTGTGTTCAGTTACTATATAGATATTACCAGAATGACGTCAGACTATAACTCTAGCCATATAAGGACAAAACCCCCAACTTACATTCCAGAGCTCTCATACAAGAAAACCTTGTGACTTATTGATACCATCTGTTACTTATGTCAATCCAGACATCCATATATAATCAATAGAAACATAGAATTTGCAATATTCTACATTCCCTCTGTTTATGGTTTGTCTTAAAACCATACCACAATGTCACTAACCTGTCCATTCACACATCACTCGTATCACAGTCATTGAGCATAGAACAAGATGCAGTCACAATTTTCTATTATATGAGAGTTCTTAGAAGGTCGAGTTTCTATCCCTTATACTGCTTACTTTACTTCAAACTCCCTCTGTTTCAGCTATGTATTGATATCCATATCCATGTTACATCATAACTACTTGAACATAATATGTATATATATATATATAACAATAATAAATGAATAAAATAAAATATTTACAAGTGTTGATCCAATAAACAATGTAAAGCAATCTGAAAGATCTACCTGCTCTGGTACAGCCATGTCTTTATAGATAACAAAATCAAGATAATAACTGTGTATCACTATCATATCCTAATAAAGACACATATAACAAAGTATTTTCATTCTCAATACCTGATATTACTAAAGTACTAATACATGTATTACTATAATATCCTGTCCAATTATGTTTACATGAATCATATGGTTTCTAGCAACCTTAAAATCGTTAGGTCATTTGTATTCATGAATTACATCCCTATACCATTAATACCATCTAGTGATGATTGTATCAATACTTTACTATCATAGTATTTAATTTGTATATTTAGTAGGCTCTCACCACCTAAAATATACCAACACTAATTATAAGACTCATTCAAAGGATGTGTTATCAACCATGAAGTTCTACAATAATTCTTTATAAAATGTTCATGGTGTTGACAATACTTATTGTTCTAGAAATTCTCCACCCAGAAATCTTTCTATCATAGATTTGTTTTTGTTTACATAATTATAATTTTCACTAAAATTCCACCTTGTAGTAACAAACTTTTCATTCAATAGAAATGTAGTTTACTTTAAAATAAAGAATAATATAAATTAATTATCATCACTCTCCTCATTAGACCTTAATTGTGATGACTTATTAATGTAATACATCTTAAAAGCAGGATTGTCCTAATGTTCTGACAAATCCGTATTCCTTAGTACACTTCAACTGACTAAAATAAAATAAAATAAAATAAACTCGAGGTCATACTGCCCAGAAACTCTGATTCCTAGTCTGTGTCTAACAAACTCAGGGAAATCATAAAACAACTTATAACAAAATATTCATTAGATACCGTCATATCCAGAAACCCATTCTCCCTAGTCCATACCTTTATAGACTTAGGTCAAATGTAATTGTGTACTAAACTCAATTTAATTCAATTCCTCTTGGATCTCTGAACTCTTATATCCAAGGCATTCTTAATGTATATAATTACTTAATATTAATCAATATAAATTGTCCTTCCTTAGTTTTCTTCCTTATGTTACCATTGTTTGTTTTACTTCACCTCGATATAAACAAATTACTTATTCTAGTCAATCTATGAAATGTTATTTAACTCAATCTTTGTAGAATTAAGTATACATGATCCTTATTTTATCAACTTCATATTTTATCTACCTCTGATACTTCTCATCCTATGTATAGGTCATAATATAATAGTTCTTTTCATATTACTATCCTATCATAATTTTACTCCAAGTGTTATATAGTTATAAGTACTCTCTTTTGGTATTAATACACAGATAACCGTTAAATAACTTTTCATTGTCTGTTTTCTTCTTCGTTAATATTTAGGAATTGATATGTATGTTAGTGTCAATCTTTTATTTCTTTGCAAGTCTGTTAATCTTCTGTATCGAATGAACTCTGTAGAATCTTCCATCACAGTTTGCAGATCAGATGAAAAGTTTCTTTCCAACAGTCGATGTCCAGTTGTCTGAAGGAATTCTTTCCTAATTTACTGCCACGAGGATCTGTCATGCTTTACCTTATTTCATCATTGTCCTCAAATGATGTCTACTTGCCATTTGAGTCTGCAGCCATATTTTAAATAGTCTATTCCTTTGTTCGTCATTAAGGCTATATTTGTCCAAATTTGACTCAAAAATCTCAGCATTAGTAAATGCATCCACTGACGTGTCATAAAAAGATCAGCTATTTCTGTCTATTTCGTTGCTTCATCCACACAGCTGCACAGTTCTGGGCTTGGATCTGGAAACTTGCCAATCTCTGCCACGTGCTTGCTTCTAGAATTCACGTTGTATCTTGTGCTTTTTGTCTCAGTTGTAGAAAATACTCTAGTACAATCTTTGTGATTTGAAAACTTTCTTTTTCTTACAAACCACAGTTCTTCTGTGACAGTCTAGATTCCTTTTTTTCTCTTCAAGTTTGTTTTTCCATTTCCAAAACTTAGCTTTGTAACTTGATTCTTCTCTCTCCCCCTTGAAGTGGGAACAAAACTTGAATTGAAGACTGGCTGGCTAGCCAATGTAAAATATAGTTTGAATCGACAATGTTAAATCTTCTTAATTTCTTCTTGTCTTCAGTTGTCTTCATCTTTTGTATATATAGCCTTGGGCCAAATGCTCGTTCTCTTTGGATGACTTTCTCAAGACCAAGGTCTTGTTGGTCTTGAGAAAGTCCTCCAAAGGGGATGAAACGCGTAGACGATCTGCTTTTCGTCTCCTCTGTATTTCCAGCCCGGTTTCATCTACGGTCCGGGATTGATTTTTGGATCTACTTGCACATCCTATCTCGTGGTAGGGAGTTGGCGTGCTCCTCTAACCACACACGAAGGTCGGGCGGACAGGGTAAGTTGCTTTGGCTTACCCCCAGTGTTCTTTAATTCGGGGAGATTGTTCACAGCAACACCCTTAACCTAGACCCGGTTGTTTGGTGGGTTTAAGAGCTCCCACCCCCAGGGATAGTGTATGTGTCTGGGTGTCGTTTATTTTTATTTTTCTTACATACTTTTAGTTTTCATGTGCACATTTTCCAGTTCAAATTGGTACACATCTTGTGTCAGTGTTGGGGGCCCCACACTGTGTGTTTCTGGACTTTGATCTGGACATATTGTTGCTGTGATACATTTATCATTACTGTATCCATATGGAATTATTTCATTTGTTTTTATATGTTTAATAAATACACTTTGTATATATGTATATATATATATATATATATATATATATATATATATATGCATTAATCTAGACTATCCCAGAGTTATTAATCTGATCAATATTAGTTGTGTTCAGCAGCTGCTGTTTTGGAGTACAGTGTTTAAGTGGTCATGATTTATCATTTGGAACGCTCACATACCTTTGCATGTTAATATTATATTTAGTAGTTTAGTCGCTCATCTGTATGTGAGGCAGCCCCCTACTTGTCTTTTCCTCCTATTTATTACTTATCCCAATTTCAGTTTCTTTTGATTTTTATTTCACTAAGGATAGTATTAGACTAGTGACCGTTGCAGAAGAGGAATCAGTCAGGAGCTATTAACAGTTTAATTGATACGCTTTTATGAAGAAGTGGGATTTAACAATTTTTTGAAGGAGTGGAGACTGGGTGAGCATCTAACGGAGGAGGGAAGCAAGTTCCACAGGAACGGTGCAGCCCTCGAGAAATCTTGGCGAGCATCAGAGGTGGGAGTACGGACAGAAGATAGACGTAAGTCTTCAGCAGAATTTCAGTTTTGGTCAAGTTTAGTTTAAGTAAGTATTATCAAGTATAATGATACTATTAATAATGTGTTTTGAGATGTGCCAGCAAAATGGGAAAAAAACAAAAACATAGAATTAGCAAACCCCATAGTGCTTAACTTTTTAAATTTGGGGTAATATTCAACTATTATCTATTCTTTCTTTCTAAATTTCCATTATATTAGAAAAACTTCCTTAAGAGTGATTCACCATAAATTATCAATGTGCATTCTATCTACCACACAAATGTACATTCCACAATAAAATTTGTAAATTACAATAATTTATATTAAAACCTTTTAGATTATTTTATATACTTCCTCCCATATCTCCTCTCTCTTCTCTCTCCTCTTCCCTTCCCTTTCCCTCCCTTGCTCCCCCTCCTTACCCTTTTACAAAGCTCTTTACTGAAAAAAAACAAAAAACATTTTTAATAACCAATATAAACAGATTTGTCTGTATCACCTACAGGCAGTTAAACCAGCTTATTAATTGTAACCAGTTTTGAAGGGAAGTGGGATCTCTAACTATTTCATTTTTATCGTTACAAGAAAATCTGATGCCTGCTAGAAATGTCCAAGAATATTTAATTTCTTTGTTCCTCAAAGCTAAAGTCTGTGCTGTAAATTTTCTTCGAAGATTCCTTGTGCCACAAGAAAGATCATTAAAGAACTTAAGTTCTTCATATTTTGATCCGGTCCGCGATTTATTTCTCATAGCTGTCACAATTTCCATTTTACATTTATAAGAGTGACAACATGCGATGGCATCTCTAGGGATTTGCGCAGGTATAGCTTTAGATTTATATACTCTGTGTATCCTCTCAGTATGTTAACCTTGTTGTTACATTCAATGTCTAGGAATTGAGTGAGCTCCACCGTATATTGCTCTAGATCCAAAGCAGAAATAATTACGGGGATACCTCTCAATCTAATATTGTTCTGCCGTGCCCTATCTTCAAGCATTAGTTTCCAGTAGACATGTGTGATTGATTTCGTTCCGAATGTATATTCATACGAATTTCATACCATTCGGACATTCAGATACTTATGAATGTTTGAAGTGCCAAAGTCCCAAAGTGACAAAGTTCAGTATTTAGTGCCGAAGATTCGAAGCGCCGAAGTGATTCGGATTTCTGAAAACTGCCAAAACAAGTGAGAAGGAGGGAAAATTATGTGAATGATAACAGGAATCTTGACCAATAATCTAAGTCCTTTTGTGCAATGATATCATATCCTGCACGCGTTAAATCATGATTGCCAGCCAACCCTGAAGGATGTACTTTGTTCCCTCGCTGCTTGGCATGACTTTTTACTTACTCAAATTTCCAAAACGACACAAATCTTTTGCCCATGCACATCCCTAGTTTCTAGGTTTTCGATCTTGAATTCCATCTGTGATATCATAGCTTGTTGTGTAGTGTGTTGTTGAACTGAAATCTTTCCTCTAGGGTCTGAATCTTTCCTCATTTTAGTTAACTCTTCTTTAAAGTCGTCTGTTATTGTGTGAATTTCTTGTTTTATTTTTTCAAACTGAGTTTCAAAACAAATATTAAAATAGACTATTGAGGCATTGGATGAGGGACATTTAAATAGGATTTACTTTTCGTAACAGATATTCTATAGCAACCTTCTAAGTATTCGGAAAAATTACTTAGTACAGACCCAATACCTGAGACAATAGGTGGTCCTGGTGGGCTCTGGTCATTCTTATGGATTTTTTGGAGGAAATATATTACAGGGATTTTTGGATAAAGAACATTAGAGTAATTAAACTCTTGGTTTTTTTTTAGAATATTCATGGTTTTGCCTTTTTCCAGATATATTAAAAGTGATTTTTTTTTAATTGAGATAGTTGGGTCTAGATGTAGTTTAGCATAGACATTAGTATCATTAAGCTGTTTCAAGGGTTCTGCAGTATACATTTCTATAAGGAGAATAACCAATCCACCCCCCTTATCGGCTGGCTTGATAATGATGTCTTTATCTTTCTGCAATTGTTTAAGTGCCTCTCTTTCTTAAAGTTTAAATTGTGATGGTCACATTTATTCTTTTTGATTTTCTCTAAATCATTTGTCACCATTTTTTTCAAACACTTCAAGTGAACCTGACTTATAGCCTGCTGGATAAAATTTGGATTTTTCACTTAATTCTGTTGGTACAAAGTCAGTGTTGGGTGTATTACCATCTCTGTTAGTGTTAATTGTATCTATTGTTGGTTTTATTGTATTGTCTAAACAATTGATTGAGAAAAAACTTTTGAATGTGGTCTTTCCGACAAATTTATTTACATCCAAGAAGGCTTAAAATAGTTTGAATTAGTGGGTTGGTGTGAATTTCAGACCCTTACTTAGCACAGATAGTTGGGTAGCCGCTAAGACTTTTTGTGAAAGGTTGAATATTCCATATTCACGTTCAGTATGTTTATTTATTGTCTCTCTGCCCTTTCTCTACCACAGTGAGCACTATTGTTTGTTTTTATATTTGTTCCAGTATATTTATCTGCAAGCTGAGATATTGATCTATAAAGCTATGTATCTGCCAGTGAGAATCATACCGCTGTATGCTGTTTTACTTGGAGCTGGTCTATAGCTCCATCAAATGTAAGTGCTGGTTTTCATATCTGTGTTGTGAGTCCACACCTAGCACTAAACATATTGCACTATTATCGGCCATCTCTTTTTTTTTCATATATTAGATTACAGAACCACAAAAGCATTCTCTTAATATATTGGACTGTATTATTGGCGCAACATATTTTTGCTTGTATCGTGTTTCTTGAACTGTACCTCACATTTACTAATACTTAAAGTGTGAGCAATTTGCTAAAGGTGATTTCACTATTAACTCCAGTGAAATGTCATATTGGAGATTTTTCCCATCATCGACACTTCAAAGAATTGCACTCAATTTCATATATATTTACACTGGCATATTTTAAACGTGTTTCTGATTTTTACTTAAATGTATTAATTACTTTTTATATACTGTATGTAGGAACTAATTAAATACAACAAAGTATGTAACAAATTGTAGATATTTCTACTTGTATCACTATGTTTTTTTCTAATGTTTTTATGTTACATACATGGGCTTTTCTCTTTTTTTGCCACAGTGACATATTTATATTAATTGAGAAAACAGGGGTCAGGCTGCACTCACCTGAATATGCATAAGTAGGGTGCTGCTGAAAGCCAGTTTATACAATAAAAACAGAAAATGAAGCAGACACTAGGCTGTTAGAGTAGGACATGCCAAAGATTGGGTACATTGACGTTGTGGCAGGCTTATGCAATGTATGATCATATAACGTAACTAAACCTCCATGATTTTTTGCCTGGATTAGGTGTTAGTAATAAATACTAACTAAATCTGTCAGCACTGAAGTTGCTGTTTAGGGGTTAATGGAGTACGCTGGATTTTCTCTTTTTTATATTTACATTAATTGACATTCTGAATTTTGCATCAGTTGCAGAATGATTTCTTTAATATGATAAATGAACTGTTCATCACGTATTGATGGGATTTACAACCCTTAGAAGTTACAAGGAAATATTGAAAAATAAGCGAGCCAGTAATTGAAGATTAGTGAGCAAAAAAACAAACAAAAACTCAGTAATTGCATATAATCTATTCACAGATTGATAAAGCAATTTTTAATCACAGTTTAAATGCCACCAACTAATGTTTTGTGGCTATATAATAATATATCATCTGATTGTAGATATGTATAATCAATGCATAGCATAATGCCAAGGTCATTTTATGAGCATGAAAATAATTATTCTAGGTCTATTTATTAGAGCTGCTATTAAATGATCTAATACATACCTCAAGTAGATACCTACATATCTACATGTTCAGTTTTTGAAGTTACACAGTCACACTGAAAACTATAGATTTTTAAAAATATTATTATTATTATTATTATTATTATTATTATTATTATTATTAATGGTGGGTCTATAATGTATTTTGTGGTATCTTCTCACCTCAAAAAGTTTCATTATTCCATAAATTCATGCTGTGACAGGAGTCACCATCACTAGGAATGTACGTCTGCCACTTCACGTAAGTCCACAGATGGTTCTTATGTCTAAGTCACTCTCTGCCACTTATTGGTGCAGGATGTGTATTATAGTTAGGTTCTGTGTCACATGTCTTGCGTGCTCTCCTGTCCTGCTGATGCTCTCTACCAACAAGGAGGATTTGATCTTGGAGCCTGTACAGTGCTACCTTTTGGTTGTGAAGATCTTGAAACAGTTATATGCACTACGTGAATAGCAAGGCTCTGTAATTTGCATATTTGGGAAGATTTTGCATAATGCATTTTATGGTTTAGGCAAGCAGGGAGATGGATTTCTTTATAGTCTTTGTCTTCTCCACCTCTTCACAAATACTGT